TTTGACATTCAATTAAAAAAGTATTTTTTCAGAAAAGTTCATCAATGAGAATGACGGCGATGAAGCGGAATATATAGCTACATCGATGTCGCTTTTCCAATTTGCCAATAACCGCAAGTAATTGAAAGCACGCAACAAGATGTAATAATTAACTTTTTTATGCTTAAATTTTGTGTGTTATCGTGAATTTGTATGCTAAAATGTCTATTCCCTATTTACATTTTCGCGACTGTAGATGAGTCCGCCGAAAATTCGCATTTCTTTTAGTTTCTAGATGTTAAGCAATCTATGCATGAGTTTTTATTGAAATATCTTTAAATAAAGGGTTATAAAAATGTTTATAAAAAGCTTTTTTTTAATTTTTAGTAAGTTTATATTCATACGCTTATAAACAACTTTTTTTGAACCTTTATTATAAGTTTACACTTTTACGCTTATAAAAAGCTTTCTTTTGAACATTTATTAAAAGTTTATATTTCTACGCTTAAAACCAATGTTCCTTTTCGATTATATTACGCTTACTTTCAAGCGTTTTATAAACAAAAAATCAACGTTTTGTAAGCTTAATGTTTATAATTGAAAACTTAAAAAAAACTTTCTTTAAGTTTATTTTGCTTGTTGGGTCTTTACAAAAAAATGTAGTTAGGGATCGAATTGCGCATATTTTTTTTACAATATCAAGTGCCCACAAGAAGTGTTAAACCACTAAATAGCTTAAAAAACGCTTTCAAAAATTCGAAACGAGAGTGAAGTGCAGTGTTCAATTGTGATCGAAATTGCAGGCAAAATTTGTGCGTGTGTAATTAATGTTTTACTTATTTGAAGACATTTTGCCCGTTGTTATTAAAAATAAGCAAACCAAGACCCCCGCTTTCCACTGGTGGTTACATAATACTTGAATAGCTCCTTAATTAACATGTGTTTGTTTTGAGCACGCACGGCCAGTTAAACAGGCATGTCTGAATCGATTTCCTTCATCATTCTTAGCAATTTGATGTGCATTTTTATTGTTATGTGTTGCAAACAGACATTTTAGGAACTAAATAGGTTCTAAACTCTCTGTACACAAGCGCACTTATTTTTAACAGTTTCCAGTTTATGTAATATTAATCAAAACAGCTTTTATTTATTTTATGTATTATGTGATTTCTGGAAGTGTCGAATACAAAAAAGGGCTGTGACTGTGTTTATGTAATTTGAAATTGTATTGATGATTACTAATAATAATAGAAAAGCGCTTACATATCGACACAACTAAAAATTTCATATATTTCAGTAGAGCCAATTAAAGATTTTTTGTTTCGTAATTTAGCAATATGTCTTGGAACGTAATTATTCCGGATTATATGCAGTCATACTGTAAGCTTTCAAATTATGTATTTTTCTAAACCTGAAATTTTGAATTGTGCCGTTATTGCAGAGGACCATCGACATATGTTAGTGTTTGGCCGAGCTACTCCTCCGATTGTGGCATGCGCCTTGATGTTGTCGCACAAAGGGGAGGGACCTACAGTTTTACGCCGACTCCTGCCGGGGGCCGACCACTATTACAAAAAACATTTTCTTTTTTTTTGTTGGCCGGAACTGGGCTCGGACGCTCACCCTGCGGAATGGTAGTGGGCACTTCTAAACACTACACCACAGCGATCGCTTAATTAATTTTAATCATTAATCGCGATTAACCATTTATTCGTTAATTTTTAGTCATTCATAGACTAACATTTTGTCGACAATGCTCGCATAAGATAGTCCCAAATTTTCACAAAAGAGAAAAGTTATTTTCTTCAAAACTTTTGAATGACGTCTTGACTGAACTTACTAATTCGGAATTTCTACTATTACTTATAGAGTAGGCTATTCATAAAGTCTGGGTAATGAAATACAAATTTTTCTATTATAAGTTCCATAAATATAAGGAGACTTTTATATACATACTAGCAGACCCGGCGAACTTCGTCCCGCCCAAAATTAATTTTTTGTATTGAAACATTTTGGTACAACATGTTCACCAACAGTTCACGTCCATGATTTTCAGTGACGCGTTTATCTTCTAATATTACGGTTTCGTGGTTGTCGGAAGGCATATTTCCATTACCATCTTAAATAACCTAGCAAAATTTTTTATACAAAGATACGTAATAGCTTCAGTACCGTTTGAAAGGCGCCGTACCCCCCTTATAAAATAGACGCAATTTTTTCTAAGAGTATGGGAGTGATTTCTCATATTTCCATACCATGTTCAAGTACTCTACCATGAACACTTCCAGAGATATGCAGTGTGAAATATTCGGTTTGCATGGGAGGTGCCACGCCCCTTTTTCCAATAAGCCAAATTTTTCTTCATGACTATGCGATTGATTTTATATGTCTTGTACATACCAAGTTCCAGTACTCTACCATGAACACTCGCAGAGATATAAAGTGTGAAAAATTTGGTTTGTATGGGAGGTGCCACGCCCCCTTCACTTAGCGGTATGAAACATACTTTACACCCTATTGTCATACCTACGAAATATACATAAAAAATTTCATTCAAATCGGTTAAGCCGTTTCGGAGGAGTTCGACCACAAACACCGTGACACGATATTTTTATATATTAGATTTTTCATACAAAAATACCAAAAGATCTAAAAGAAAAAAATAGAGAAAATTTTTTTTGGATAGGGACACCCTAATTGCCAAATTCCAGTACTCTATCGTAAACACTGCCAGAGGTATGCAGTATGAAAAAATCGGTTTGTATGGGAGGTGCCACGCCTCCTTTTCCAATAACCACAATTTTTCTCCATGAGTATGCGATTGTTTTCATATATCTCCTAACCAGGTTCGAGTACTCTACCATGAACACTTCCAAAGTTAAACAAAATGAAAAATTCGATTTGTATGGGAGGTGCCCCGCCCCCTTTTACGATAACCATAATTTGTCTCCGTGAGTATGCGATTGCTTTCATATATCTCCATACCATGTTCGAGTCCTCTTCCATGAACATTTTCCGGGATATGCAGTATGGAAAATTCGGTTTGTATGGGAGGTGCCACGCCCCCTTTTCCAATAATCACAATTTTTCTCCATGAGTATGCCATTGGTTTGATATATCTAGATACTAAGTTAGAGTACTCTACCAAGAACACTTTCAGAGATATGCAGTATGAAAAATTCGGTTGTATGGGAAGTGCCACGCCTCCTTTTCCAATAACCACAATTTTTCTCCATGAGTATGCGATTGATTTCATATATCTCCATACCATGTTCGAGTACTCTACCATGAACACTTCCAGAGATATGCGATATGAAAAATTCGGTTTGTATGGGAGGTGCCACGCCCCCTTTTCCAATAACCACAATTGTTCTCCATGAGTATGCGATTGGTTTTATATATCTCCATACCAAGTTAGAGTACTCTACCACGAACACTTCCAGAGATATGCAGTATGATAAATTCGGTTTGTATGGAAGGTGCCACGCCCCCTTTTCCAATAATCACAATTTTTCTCCATGAGTATGCCATTGGTTTGATATATCTAGATACCAAGTTAGAGTACTCTACCATGAACACTTCCAGAGATATGCCGTATAAAAAAAACGGTTTGTATGGGAGGCGCCACGCCCCCTGAACCTAGCGGTATGAAATATACTTTACATCCGATTCTCATATCTACCAAATATACACAAAAAATTTCATAAAGATCGGTCCAGCCGTTTCGGAGGAGTTCGACCACTAACACCGTGACACGAGATTTTTATATATTAGATAGAGTATAGGGTGGCACTGTGTTAAAGTTTTAAAGTTTTTAAACGTAAAATGACGGCTAATACCTTTTTAAGCGTTTTGTAATTTAACCAAAACTCATTAGCATCTACTCAAGCAAGGAATTATTTACTTTTCAACATGCATTAGCAGAGTGCACTTCTCTTTTGTTTACAATTTGGTTGTCAAACACACTACATCGGATCTTTTGACACATTTACCAGAATGTACCACCAGGTAGCTTCTGACAAAGAGATGACCTTACTTACTCTCTTATTTGTCCTCTCAGTTGCCAGAAAACCAAGTACGATTTCCGGTAAAATCTGGAAATTCTGGTAAAAAATGATAATTTCGGACTCATGCGGGTTCACAACTAAATAATATTGGGAATACTTTTGAGGTGTTTGAAGAGGGTTGCGACCTGTTTGAAACTAAATTTAATTATAGTATTCATATTTTGACCTTAACACTTTTGCTAAGTTTTGGCCGAGCTTCTCCTCCGATTTGTAGCGTGCGCCTTTGCTGTTTTTTTTATTAAAGACACTAAGATTTTTAAAATATTTTCCCTAAAATTTTATCAACCTAAATGTAAAGCTTATGCCAAGTAGTTATCTAATTTAATGTAAATTTTAAACATTTTCAAGATAAAACATGAATTATATTTAAAACGTAAATGTTAATACAACTGTTTTATATATAATCCCAAACATATGATATAAAATCCCCTCTACCAAAAAACTTAAATTGGGTAACGCCGGTTTGAATTTTTACAATTGAGCAATTGTCAAAAATCTTCCTTTTTATCAAGAAGTTATTTACCAGGGTGTCTTTGAACTAATGATTGGTACTGAGTTAAAGAATGCACACACATAAAAGATTGCAGCCTTTTCAATACTCATTCAGTGTTAAACCTTTTTTTGATTGGGCATTGGTTTTTTCAATCTTGCTATGAATATGTTGATGTGTTAATTCATAACTGCTTTGAGAGAATGGAAAATTCAAAAATTTTAAACCTCAATCCTAAGCGAAGAATAAGTTATGAAAACTGGATAAAAAAAAATTGTTGATTTAAAATTGAAAATGATTTCACACTTACACAGCTCTGCATTTCAACAGCTTCGAAACTGTCGTCATTTGAATCGGTATCGGTTTGGGACCTAAAGTACAGGGTGAGAGCAAGGAGATAATAGTACTTTGGTGCTGCCGCTTACAACAAATGTAAAATGACTTTTCATTAACATATGGCAACACTTATACTTCCAACAGTTGTTTTTCTAGTCGCATTTTGTCAATTTTCGTGCAGCGATTTGTTTTTATTAAATCATTTATTTATTGAAAATATCAATCACCAACTAAGCCGCGGACCATGCATTTTCCTTACATGAAAATTGCCATCTACGTGCTAACGTTTCTTACCTACGCATACTCGGGATATGGCTCCAGTACGATTGTGCATCTGCGAGACGCCATCATCGCGGCAGAGGCAATATTCGGTGATGTTTTCAAGAATCTGGTGACGGTTGTCAGGAAGTTCCGCACAGTGCATGAAGTATTCGATGCAGCGGTGGACGAGAATTGCATATTTCAATGTACAGGACCAGATGGAAAACCAACAGGTGAGTTTGAAAAGATGTAGAGAAGATGCGTGATTAAACGCCGGCATGCCAGCTGAAGCAGGAAATTACGTAAAATTGTCTGCACATGCGTCAGTAAAGTAGAACGTGGAAGGAAAAAGTTGTAAGGAATGTGTTAGTTATTAGTGATGGCTGCAGTGCGTCAGTTGTAGATGAAATGGATTTGTTTTGTTTTGATTGCGATCTCTTGTCGCTTGCTATCAGCTGATTGGCATACTACAGAAAAGCTTGCTGCTGGAGTTTTCCAAGCGGCTGGAATGTGAGTTTTGTGACCGCTTACGACAATAGTTTTGTTCCAGCAGCAATACGAATAGCAGGTTTGTTGGATTTACAGGAACAGCTGTTTCCGCCATTAATAAACCTTTTGTAAGGTGTGGTGCGGGAACAGCTTCCTTAAAATCCTGTAAATTCCTGCTATTCGTACTGCTGCTGGAACGCAACTAATTGTTACAAGTCAATTTATCTGCAATCTAAATTTATAAATTACCTACATCATCTCCTTCCGGTACACGTGTACCAATCCAGTGAAGGCAGCTCACCTTTGTGCAAATCGATTATAATAAACCGCTGAAGAATATTTGCATATGCTGATTCAGCTACTCGTCAGCAGATGGCACCATGCCAACACGTTTAAAGAACCTGTTACGTTTAAAATTTAGTATCTAAAGTACACCTCGTCAACTTTGAATACACTCTTTAAAGGCAGATTAAATTATTTTCCGTCTTTTTCAGATGTACGTCCCGTCCAGAATAAACTTTACACCCCCACAGCCGATGGCTGTGGCTCGCTAGGTCTACGCATCAACACCGAATACTTGCCCGCGGTAGAAATGGAGAACTGCTGTAATGAGCACGATATTTGCTATGACACATGTAACAGCAACAAGGAGCTATGTGATTTGGATTTCAAGCGCTGTCTTTACAAGTATTGCGACACCATTGATAAATCCGTTGGCAGTGAATATCTCATAACCAGCTGTAAAGCTGCTGCCAAAGTGCTATTCACGGGTACCTTAACGCTAGGTTGTAAATCATATTTGGATTCGCAAAAGCGTACATGTTACTGCGCGCCGCCGAAGCAATCGAAAGAGGATGGGCGTGGCTACAACGGATATAAGAACGGAAATGGTGATAAGTATTATAAGCAGGGCAAGAAGCAGAAATATGGCTGGAAGGATCCAAACGATATGTAGTGCTGCCGCTGAGTTAAAGCTACTGGTGCTTCCGCTTAAGTAGCTGCATTATGCGTTTTCTTTAGCAACTTTGTTTCTTCATGTTATTGTTCAACGCACACAACATAAATTAATTAAAACACATTTGCAATAGTATTTTGAACATATTGCTAAGATGAGAGAGATGTACATAGTCAAATGTATTTTTTAGAAGTTGAAAACTTTCGAGTGAATTTATTTACATATTTGTTTATTTACTATTAGAACCAACGAACTTGTCCAAGGGAAGATATGTATTTTAGATTTTATTACAAAATAAAACTAATTCGTAATTACATACTATATAATATTCTAACTTACATTTGTAATTATTTAGTTATTTAAGCTACTTCTTTCCAATTGCGATTTTGCAGCAGTATAATAGGACAACTGGTGCACTTTTACTCGGTACTCAATATTTGGCTTCTGACTGTCCACCATCACTTCCAGGTACTTAATGCTGTCAGTACGGGTAACATATTACTAATAGCAAGTCCGCAACTAGCAACCATTTGTGACCTACAAGAGAGAATGCACAAGCTTATCAGAAGCGATAAGTAACACGTTTTCGGCGCAGGCAATAACCCGACAGCATCCACCAGGACGTCGTTGAGGACCATGATCCCGAGAGAAGGGTCGCAAGACAAGTAAAAAAACCAGTAGAACTTTCAAACACGCCTTACTCTTTTTCGATGGCAAATATTGTAGACGAGGGCACGAAAAGGGGTATACGGGTATAATTTAATTAAGATTACTGAGTTCTAGTTACACTGTTGACTAGATAGATGTCTTCTGAATGAATACAAATGTTATGAAACATTGTAGTCAAAGAGTTAAAGAATCAACTGTATAATTTACCGTTTTTGTTTTTATTTGAACATTATGGTAGATAACATGTAAGTACTAAGCCCTAGTATTGGTGGCTATAAAAGAATTCATCGTAGCCCGATTTTTCGTGAAATCGACGAAAATGCGATAACTGAAGCCGAATCGCTACGATCGTGTGTATTCAAAGTATACGCTACGTTCGTAGCTATTCGAATTCCATGACGATTTACGTAGAATTCACGAAAAATCGGACTCCGACGTGATAGCCCTGATTACAACATTTTCCTTAAAAATTATAATTATTATGAGTTATGTATGATTTCAATTAATCAAATTGTTTTCTACTTCTGCAACGAAGCTTGAGAACTGCACACATAATCCGCGAACACTATCCAAAGAATCCACCACCAAATAAGCCGCCACCCCCACCACTGCTAGCCGATGCACTGGCCGTGCCGCTGCCGCTACTGCTCGCGAACGCCGTATCTGTAAAAGATCACATAAAGAAACATGTCCAAAACACTGTATAATTTGTTTTGTTTAAAACAATATTCTTCGTAGAAAGATTGTGTTTAGAGTTTCACACACCACTCATACTATACACTCACTCAAATTATTTCCATAAAAGGGATAACCTCCAGAATAAGGAGAACCACCACCGCCACAATTGTAACATGGGTAGCCGCCGCCATAGTAATAGGGATATGGCTGATAGCCGGGATAGCTACCATAAGCGCCGAGTCGATTACCATATCCAAGAAGGCCATAACTACCTGCACCACCAAGGACACCAGGGTAGTAACCATATTGAGCGTTCAATTGACCTAGCGCGCAGAAAAGAAGCACGAGGATAAAGGAGGCAGATGCGAGCGTGTGACGCATAGTGGTTGTCAGAAGAGTACTCAGAATGCACGAAATTTAAAAACGAATTAAAAAATTGGATCGCCCGGATGATCGTTTTTAAGACTTGTTCTAAGCAAAAAGAAAAGTACTCAGGATTCACGAAATTCAAAAGCATTCAAATAATAGCCGTTAATTTTGATTGTAAATTTAAAGTAATTCAAATACTTTTCAGTCAACTTTTTCACATTCGCACGATTTGGTGACTGAGCTTGTATTTGGGATTATACTTTATTTTTATATCCAAAAATATCCGAGTGTCAGAAATGCGTGAAAAAAATGTAATTACCAACAATTAAAAATCGTATTACATTGCATACTAATTTTGAACTAATGAGCCTTTGTAGCATTGAACATTTAGTTGAAGCTTTAGCGTCTAGTTTGTTTTCATTCATTGCGTCACACATATGTATGTATTAGACTATTTTAAATTACTTCTAATTTGAGTTAAGTTTAATTGTATTCTTTTGATTTTTTTTTTGAGTACGGATTTGCTTTTCTCATTAGTTCTCCCCATTTATGTAAATATTTTTATTTTTTTCGAACTATTTGTGTTTTACTTCTTTTATATTCACCACTGAATTTTCCAAAAATAGTTTGCTAATTAGTAATCACTGTTCGTTTCCGACCATTTAAGGTCAATGAATTCGGTTCAACTGAATGTTTTTTTTAACGAACGTGGTACCATCGGTTTATGATTATTACTATACCTGAAATTAGTAGTATCGGCTTTGCATTTGTCCTTACAAATCTTCCTACAGGACTTCCAGAGAATAATCAGTGGATCCGTTAGTACACTCACGTAATTTGTACGCTTTAATAAACTTTGTTTGACGAGTGTAGGCCTAATCCATAGATGTTCAGGTTAGTCCGCTTAATATTCAATTACACTGTGAGACAAATGGTAGGGGTCAGTGATCGGGAAGGGTTCAAACTACCGGTGAAAGTTATATCGGTAAAAAAGAAGTTATACGTGTCCCGGCGTTTCGCTGGGTCACGTCTAGGAATCGAGATATATATATAACTATCACATAGGGGAAATTGTCACCTTTGGTGGTCTTTTTTTGACATAACTAGTCCGATTTTGTACAAACAAATTTAAAAAAATTAAAAATTACAATTCCTTTAATCTGTTCATATAACGTTTTTCTATATAATCAGCCGGTAAAAATAAATGTATGAAGAAAAAAATATATTGTTTGCCTAAAATATTAAATTTTTTTAAAACTGTTGATTATATAGAAAAACGTTATATGAACAGATTAAAGGAATTGTAATTTTTAATTTTTTTTAATTTGTTTGAGCAAAATCGGACTAGTGGTTCTCGAGTTATGTCAAAAAAAGACCACCAAAGGTGACAATTTCCCCTATATGATAGTTATATATACACTCTAAAAAGTGCATGTAAAACTACTACTGAAAAGTGTTTATTCTTCAACCAGAATCTGTTCAAGTATACGCACAAGATGTTCAAGATTTGATTTTGAACATGAGTTGTTTAAAATATACATATGAAATGTTTAAAATTACAAACATTTTGAAAGTAAAAATATATTTTTTACAAATAATAAATACTAAGTGCCAGGGGCGCACGCAGGAATATATTTTTTGGGGGAAAGGGTGTATACTTCTAAATATATATCATCAGCAAATACTGAAAATTCGCTCTTTAAAATACACTTATGAAAGTTTTATTTACAGTATGAAATAAATAAATAAACTTTTTAAAGTATCATCAATTGCATTTTATTTACGTAAAATTTACAAAGAACTCAGACATTTTTAACCGGCTTCAAAAAAGGGGAGGTTATCAATTCTTCGGAGTATTTTTACTTCTTTTATTTATTCCACCGCATAACTTTGCACCGCGTGAACCGATTCCAATAATTTATTTTTTTTACCGGAAAGATGGTACCTTAAGGGTCGTCTCGTAATTTAGTTTAGATCCGATCATTAAATCATGAAAAAATTAACGGTTAAAGATGCACTCAACTTTCAAAAGTAATACAAAATTTTACAAAAGAATTTTAATATAAATAAATTAAATAATTTCACGAAATTTTTACACTTTTTTTTAATTTTCGTCGATTTCTGGTTTCTCATTTTTTAATAATTCGAATAACGAAAATTTAACGGAACTTGTATTTTTATCATGTAGCTCATTTTGGTGGAACCAATTCGAAGTTAGCAAATTAAATCTTCGAATGCTTATTAAGTGGTAAACTTTTTTAGGCTGTAAAGTGTAAAAAGCAACAGTAAGTGAGTATGCATTGCATATTTTTAGGACAATGTTTTCATTCGCAGTTAAACTTTAAAGAGCTCTCAAGAAAAAAAGACAAATTCTTACAAAATGACACACAAGAAATGGAAAAGAAAATTTTTTCTTTCAAAATTTCTTATATCATAATAAATTTAGCCCCAAAACCCACCCCTTGTGTGCGCTACGTGACAAATTTGATATGTAAAAGTAAACAAGCATTGTTTAATTTTGTACACACTAGGAGAGGAAACTGGTTACCTCTCTTTATATGCGTAAATTTAAACGAAAATTTTTTAGAGGAAATTTTAAACATTTTATGTGTAAACTGTGAAAATGTGAACAATAAATGTTTAAAACTCAAAAAACAAATTTGAAATTTGTTCTACGCCACACATATGATAAGTAAAAGTAAGCAAGCAGTGTTTAAATTTGCATTCATTAAGAGAGGAAACTGGTTACCTATCTTAATATGCGCAAATTTAAACAAAAATTTTTTAGAGTGTATATCTCGATTCCTAGACGTGACCCAGCGAAGCGCCGGGACACGTATAACTTGTTTTTGACCGATATAACATTTCCCGTTCGTTTCATCCCATCCCGATTTTGACTGTCGCAATTTTTTGAGTTTTATTTTTTGCTTAGAAAATTAAAGTTATTCATTTCTTTCGAAAAGAAAACTTATTTTTTGGATTGTTTTTTTTTTTTTTTTTTGCTTGGAAAGTAAAAGTAGCATCTGATGGTTTTTTAAGATGCGTTAGCGAACGGCCTGCAAATGATCACGATCCTGACGTGATGGAGGCTAACAGACCTTGGGATCGCATTCATCGTGTCGATTAACATTGGGATGTTGTTGTTGTTGTAGCGGCTACAACAACCCCGCTCAAATCGGTTAATATCTTAGTCGTTGTCGTAAAGTTCCACTAACGGCAGCCCTAAGAAACGTGCAACCTCAATAGGGTCGGTCCACAGGGACAAACGCGTTAGGGTTGTCGGGTTTTCCGGGCATAAGAAGAGTCTGCTCAGGTATGAGTTTAACCTGCTGCAGTAGCCACAGCGAAGTTGGGCTATTGTGGTTCTAGTCTCCCGAGGCAGATGAAGCTCCGTATCGTCAATGTCCGGTGGTTGTGCGCCTAGAACGGCATTCACAGGGCTGTAGGTGGTGTTCAGGCGACATCAGAAGGCATCCAGTCGCTGTCGTAGTGCGGTGTAGGATTCAGCTCCTTAAGTAATAATATTTTATACTCGGTAAGGTTTTTGAGAAAGCGCATTAACCAATAAATCGCTATCATTAACTTTTCTGGGTCAACACCAGCTGCGGCGGTGGCACCAACGATATACAAAAAATTCGCTTTTCTCCGACAACAATAACTTTTATTATTGCTGCTACGTGTTAAGCCCACGTTGCTGCTCGCCGACATGCAATTGTCATTACCGTTGTTTCACCGTGTGTAGCCATTGGCGTTTTTGGTGGTCATCATTTAAATCGTCCCTGGCTAGATGCATGCAAATAAATATACATATATATATATGAACATACACAGAAACATATAGAGACGTCAAGCTAAACCATAAATTTGTTATTGTGTGCCATTAAAATTATGGCTGCATGCTGATTTCCATAGGCAATGACAACACCAAGTGGCGAGGAAAAGCAACGCAGCAGTGAAATGAATGCGAAGCATGAACCAATAGGCAGACACAAATACATACATACATATATACTTCAAATATGTATCAAACAAATAAAGGTAAAGGTCAAATAGCAAAGTAAATTTGAAAACAAAAAATTAGATAAAAATAGGTGACTTGCTAAATAAATAAATTCATATGTACGCACATAAGTGCATACATAGTATGTATGTATGTGATAA